ACCGTGGAGAAGGAGGTGCTGAGCTCTTCATGGGATCCGGGGACAGGACCCGTGGGAATAGCTCACAGCTGCGTCAAGCAGGTTCAGATTTGGCATGAGGAAGCATTTCTTCAGCGAGAACCGGGGTTTAAACCCTGGAACTGGCTTCCTGGAGAGGTGGTGGATGCCCCCAGCCTGACAGCGTTTAGGAGGGGTTTGGACAATGTCCTTAATAACACGCTCTAACCTTTGCTCAGCCCCGAAGCGGTCAGGCAGTTGGACTGGATGATCGTTGCAGGTCCCTTCCAACTGAAATAGTCTATTATTGAATAAGAGAAGCAAGCAGTTTTCCAGATTAAGTAGCTGAAAAACAACTGCAAGACCTTCTGCAAAATTCCATATGAAGTCAGCGTCGTCTCGCTTTAGGTTTCCACCCAAGCAAGTACTGACATGGTTTGAAAGATGACTGGAGTTTCAGATCTGAAAGTGAAATCCTGTGGAAACTTAAAGAAAAAAATAAAAGAATGGCCGTAACACAAAGCCCACTGTTAACATCTGGATCTTACAGAGATTGGTACAGAAGTAGGAGGTGAAGAATCACAGCTGGAATGGGGGTTGCAGTGGGAAGATGCAGGGATGACAGGCTCCTCAGTGAAAACAAAAGCACACTTCTGAAAGTTGCTCGACTGAAAAAAAAAATAGATAATCATCAGCCTTCATGGTAGCCAAAGCCTGGCGTTCTGCTGGCAAAACAGCTGTTGGTTGTACTGAGCTGAAATACCGTTTGCCGTGAGAGGTTTGGCAGATCGTGTGTTCATAGGTTATCTGACTTCACTCATTAAGGTTGTCTGTCCGTGTGGTAATTACGTGTGCTGTTCTGTAAACACCGTTACTCGTTCCTTCTGTGCTACCTTAGATGCGCAGGCTGCTTGTCAGGACACCACTGTCACGCAGGAGCTTCTCAAAGAGGGGTTTCACAGGTGAGTTGTCAGCCTGGTGCTGCATCAGAATGGCGTGCCGGGCAATTTTATGTGTGAAGAAGCTTCGGGTCACCCAGCTGGGATCCGTGGGCATGGCTAGGCAGCGGGAATATATTGGTACGATCAGGTATTTAACAATTACGAGCTATAGCAGAGGAAGAACAGGAGGCTATTTTTCTCAGATGAAGATCTAGGAGGCCGTTGGTAGTTCTGAGAAGTTAACAAAGAAGTGAAACTGCATTTTGGTCATGGATGTGGAGTAAGGGTGAGCTACATCTTCCTCATTGTAGAAGGACAGCGTGGCTCGACAGGGAACTGTTTTCTGAGTTTGTTGCACAGAGTACCTGAGAGCTGAACCTAATCTCTGCGCATTTGAGAGTATACCTCTCATGGGGAAGGTGGTGGTGCCATCTTAGGAAGCCCAGATATAAACGTTTTGCTTCTCTTGCTTGTTTGAAGGGACCTGCTGGTGAAGGTGGAACTCGGTGCGGTGGAGGAGGGTGCAGGACGATGCGCAGTGGCAGCTAGAACTCGTCTTCCACCAGGAATCTACGTGGATCCCTACGAGCTGGCATCGCTGCAGCAGCACAATTTAACAAAGGTAACAACCCCAGAGCTAAGACGTCTGGCAGTTCCTCAGAGTACGCTCAGGAAGTTGTAATCTCTGGTCATTACCTGGCTTGTTGAACCAAGGTGATTAATTCCTTTTCCTGGAAGGATATGCTGCGCAGTATCGTCTTCTTGACATCTTGTATCTCTCAGCTTTGGATCAGCATTGCCTGGTGCAGCGCGTTTTGTCTCGCGTGCTGCTGCTGCTTTTACATGTAGGCGTGCATACTGGGGAGCCAGGGCAGCTCTGCGCAGCCCCAGACAAACACCCGTGGTGAAAGCTGTTCAGGTTGAGGAGAGGGGAGGCTGACCCCCCCCGAGGAGGTGGTGGTGGGCTCCGAGTGGCGTGCTGCACATTCGGGCCGAGAAGCTTCCCGGCTTCGTTTTCATCACAGCTTTCTGTGTTGCTTTCCAGCGCTTGCTTCAGGTTTTGGGTGGAGACATGTGCTAAGGATTTAAGGTTAGGCGCTTAATTCAGTTAAAACATATGGATGCAAAGGCATGGATGCTGTTGGGATATTCGGAAGTGCTGGCATGGCCTTGCTCATACTGTCATTTCACTAATGGCTCTTGGGCTTGGCTCTAGGTGTGGTTGTGCTGCACGCTTTTCACACCTAAGAATCACTCATTGGAGAGGGGCTCGAAAAGTTATTTTGGAGTAGCTTAAGGGTGGAATTGCCAACTTGATTTTCCATGAAATTGAGCCCGGTGTTAGAAAATAAACCGAGGAAAACAGTTTTCCCTTCTGATGCTGCCGGAGGATACCGCAGCAAAGAGCAGCTGCTTAAATCCCAGAATCACACCCAGAATGTTCATACTTTTTTTTTTTTAATCCCATGTGGTTTTTTTTTTTTATCCACGTGTTTTTTATCCCACTCTGATGGCCACCACAACAGTATCTTTTTCCACCTGCAGGCGGTGTTAACTCCTGACGTCATTGATGTGGAGGCTCCCGAGTACTTAGCCACAGATTTTCTTGTTCTGCTGTACATGGACCCCGACCCTCGCTGCTCTCGCTGTTTTAGAGCTGCCTTGCCTGTGCACGGGCGGTACCACCGGCCGGCAGAGGACGGCAAGGAAGCGTTGGTTGCTCTGAAGAGCCCAGAAGTACTGATCTGCTGCTGTGACAGTAAGAGTCTCATTCTTTTGGGGAGCGAGGCATAACCGTGGGCAATCCAGGGCTTGGAATCTGGTTCTGTGTTCGCCTTCCGGAGATGGAGCTCTCGGTAGTCACGTGAACACGAGGGGAAGATGGCGACCCTGATAAAGAGCTCTCTGAATGCTGCTGCTGCCTGACCAAGGCAGATGAATTGTCAACAGACGCCGTGGTGTTGCGCTGCTGCCGTTGCAGTGGAAGCGTCTGCAGGTGGTCTGGCCCTGGCTTGTTCAAGGTCAGCACCTCCGACCGCGTTTTCACGGCAGCACGGCGTATTTAATCCGCACTGTCGGGTACTCGGAGCGACCAAAGAGTTGGGGTGGTTCCTAACGCTTTCTTCCAGCATTCCCTATGTGTAAGGGAGGAAGGTAGAAATCTGTGCCTGAAGGTCAGAATGGTTGGAGTCTCAGAGTCTGGTGGAACAAAAACCTGCTCTCCACTGGCAATGAATATTTTAAGTTATACGAGCAATTAAATCCTCCGGTTTTGCTACAAATTGTATTTCCTTTCACAAAATCATTCTTGCTAGCTGCCAAGTCAAACGTGCTAACGCTTCTCAGCTCCTTTATCTTCACTTGCACATTATTTGAGCAGGGATTTTTCTGGGATAAACCTAGGGCAGGGAAGACTACCTGGTCAGTTAAAAAAGAGGTGTGAAATCTTATGTTTTTCTGCCACATTTACTACTTTTGAGCAGGAAAACATATTTATTATTAATATGAAAGCATTTGAAGTATCGGAGGGGAGTTCTTGCACGTGCCAACAGGAGGCCAACAAGGAGAAATGGAAGAATGACTTCTCTGTTTTGGGGGAAGACAAACTGTAACTGTTTGGCTAAAGTTGGAGGGGTCTACAGGCCAGTGATGAATTCTTTGCCCTGTTAAAGGCAGAAGGGCCAAGATTCCACACAGGTGAGATTCCTCCTCAAGTACCTACTGTATCGGGAAGGGAAGAGTTGTGAGGTTCATGAGGAGGATGGCCCAACACCCCTTTGACCGTGCAGGTTAGCTGGCACGTTTCTGTTGGTGCCATTTCACCTACTGGCTTTCAGGGAGTAGATTGTGTCTGGCTGTTGTGGAGGAAAGATACCTCGTTTGGAAAAGCCTCGCAGGCCATATTGTTTCATCCTCTCTGGATCCTGCTGATGCATTAATGTCTTCCGCAGATCGCCTCTCATCAGAGTGTTGGAAGCCTGCTGAAGTGGGAGCTCCCTGTTCAGGGAAAAACGACGGCCCCTGTCAGTGGTACAGCGTGACGCACAGACCTGTGAGTTCTTAGTTCTGCTGGGAATTCTTGGTTCTAACAACTGCTGCCTTTTTGCTGCAATTAGCGACTTGCAGAGCACGGCAGCTGAGAAGTACAAGACCAGTTGTGCGATGCCCCCTTAGGGAGGCTGCCTTCTGCCTTTCTGACTGGCTTTTAATGGGTCTCCTCCTGCCCTTCTGACATGCTCTTGGTCACGCTCTGCTCTTCTGATCCTTTATGGGGCTGCTCTCTGCAGCTTTTTTTTTTTCCTTATTAGTTTACTTGGAATTCTAGGATATAATTGGCACTGGTAAAATTAAGAAAAGTCTTTACAATGTAGGTGCTTCAGAGGAGCAGTGAAATGAAAAACTACTTTATGATCTATCCAAAGGAGGGGTAAAACCCCAAAGATTGAAGGAATAACATCTTTTAAAAAGGCCACTTATGTTTGGTTGTTACCAGATTGGCTAAGTAGCTAGGAAAAGATGAAGTTTCTTTATTCTGTGTTCAAAACTCAGGGAAGTTGAAACTTCAGTGTATTCAACAACTGCCTTTGATTGTAGAAAGGGTTGCAATAGCGTAGAGATTCAGAAATGAGACTCATTTGTCTCATAATGAATCTCTGGGTTTTGTAACACACATGCCTGCCTATATTTAAGATACCTGCAGACATCTGGGATATCTGCAGCTCTTGTCCTAAAACATTCTGGAGCTTCCTGCAGCACAGAGAAACCAAATAGATGCTTGTCCTGGAGAAAACTGGCTTCTCGGTGGTCTGTGACATGCTCATTCTTGAGAGCTTCTCTTTTCCATGCTGTATGACGTATGTGTCCTTGATGGCAAACCTACTGTAAGAACAGATACAGAGTATGTAAACGGTTACCATTTAAAACAGTAGCAGATTAGTTTACTGAGCTCTGTACTGCAAGAGCGGCTGGTGCTCCGTTTGCTGTAAACTGAAAGGTGATGTCCTGCCTTGGTTTTCACTTCAGATCCCAGCAGAAGCCTTGGTGAAGGGCTAATTAAACACAGTGGGCTGGTTACTAATCCTCTGCCTTGCGTTCAGAAGGAAATCGCTTGTTAACTCTGTGTAATCCGTTTATTCTTTTTTGTAGGTACACGAGGAAGCGATTCTGCAGGTTCCAGTGGGGCTCAGGCAACATAGTTCCCTAGTGTGTGCTGTGACTCTCCTGGCCACAGTGCTCTGCTCCAGTCTGATTCTTGTTGCTGTATGCAAATACGGACACTTCTCCCTGGAGACCTGCTTGGCATAAGGAAATATGGAATGACTGACCTCCGACACCAAAATGCACTGAATAGTCCACCAGCTTCCTAAATGGATCCTATCCTGCCGTTGTTTATATCTCAGTAGTGTGTGAGGGTCCTGTAATGGGTTGTACTTCCCTTGGCCTAATTCTCACCAACACCTTTCGCACACAGAAGGACAGAAACAGAAGACTCTTTTGGTGTGTTGGCAAAGCAGACAGAGGGTAGGAATGGCGCTGCAAAAAGCTGGAAGGAGTGCTGCGGGCAGTAGTCATGGAATCATGGAATCACAGAATGGTTGGGGTGGGAAGGGACCTTAAAGATCATCTACTTCCAACCCCCCTGCCATGGGCAGGGACACCTTGCACTAGACCAGGTTGCTCCAAGCCTCATCCATCCTGGCCTTGGACACTTCCAGGGATGGGGCATCCACAGCTTCTCTGGGCAACCTGTTCCAGTGCCTCACCACCCTCTCCGGGAAGAACTTCTTCGTGATATCTAATCTAAACCTCCCCACTTTCAATTTAAACCCGTTACCCCTTGTCCTGTCACTACAGACCCTTGTAAAAAGTCCCCTTTTAGTCAGGAGTCTCAAGCCCCTCCCCCTGGCCCAGAGCCTGCTTTGCCTGCAGTGCGCTTGCAGAGGTGTTGGTTTCTTGAATTTAAACCAGAAGACTCAGGGATTGGTTATTAAGGGTATGAAAAAAATTATCTGTCATTAAAGTTTCTGAATTTTAAGCTGGTTTACAATTTCCAGATTGGTTACGTGTGAACTTGTGATATTCTGTGCTTACCTGGGAAAGGAGAAGGCTAAAATAATCTCTCCCATCCCAAGAACTGGGAGGGATTAGACGCTTTTGGTCACATTTGAGATGGAGGAGTTCAGAAAATGAAAAAAAAAACAACACTTCACCCTATTTCAGAGGCAAAAAGAATAATCCCTGGGAGGTGAAAGCTGTTGAAAAGATCCCAGCTAGAAGGAAAGACTTAGAAGCCCTGAATTCAGCCATCAGAACAGTCAATAAATACAAGGAAATGGAGAGGAAATTCCTCAATGGAAAAACCCGAGTTGCTCTCCCGGATTGACGGGAGAGCTCTGTTAGTGGCTCTAACGATCAGTAGGTGGCACTGTGATCCTACAGTAACTCCTAGGGGCTGCTGGTGGAGAAAAGAGATTTTATTCCCTATAAACTGAGACCAAGCTACTGAAAGCAGGTGATTTTGGGGAGTGCGCGTGTGAGGGGGATGAATGAAAATTCTGGTTTTCAAATCCTGTCCTCCTTTTGAAGGGTCCTCTGTGTGCAGCCGAGACTCCTCATCAGAACTGTCCTTTCATTGCTGTCCAGCTGTAGCTCCAGGATCCCTTGGGCATCTTTCTGCTTCGGCTGGAATTCAGTAGAGAGCTCGTCTTGTGACTTCGCCCACCACAGGTTGGCAAATGCTCTGACACTGGGCTCTTGTTTTCCCCTGACTGTGCTGAATGATGGTGGCTGCGCCAGGACGTCACCACCTCAGAGGAGTCACGCACTGCATCTGCTTGGGGGAAGGGAGGGAGCAGAGAGATTGGGCCGCCTGTTTCACCACAGCGGGGCTGTGGACCGCTATTGTAACGCTTGTCTCCGAGCGGGATTCCTAATTCCCAGCCGAGTTTGTTCTTGTGCTCCCTGGTACGCAGGTAAGCAATCCTGTGCTGCGGCCTGACGCTCGGGCTCCAACATCCCGGGTTGCCACTCGGCTCTGGCAGGCCTCAGATTTTACTTTTGAACATCAGCTCATACCAGTGGAGAATCACAGGTTGAGTCCTTGGCTAAAAGGAGCTGCCTGCTCTCACAGCCTGGTGCAAGGAGACAGTAGTGGCCTTTGGACAGATGGGAAAAATACCGCAAGCGGCAAAAATACGGAAATGGGTGATCTGGAAATCGAGTGAGGATGTGAGAATGGAAGCCCACATTGGTGGTTAGATGCCGCCGGAGAAACTGAGGCAGGAGAGGCTTGAATTACAGGGGGCTTAGTACTGTCAGCACTAAACAAATAGTTGACTTCAGTTTAATGTGCACTGAGAGTCTGGCTGGCACGTGGCTCACTAAGCGTATCTAAAATTCATCAAGACCCCAGCAATACACTTTTCAGATGAGCTTGAGTGAGAATGATTCTGATTAATGTAAAATACGAGGGAAATCGCCGAACTTCTCAGTGGATGTTTTTTGTTATGGCAAATAGCAAATACTTGCTGGTTTTAAATCCCCAGCATTTGTATTTATAAACTTGTCTACCATATTTTTCTTTAAAAGCTGTAAGTAAGTCTGATAACTGCTGTGAGTCTAGTGACTACTGCAGTGCTCAGTGGGAAGGAATGTGCCAGTTAAACTTCCTCTCTCACACCAGAAACTGGTGGCACTGAGCAAGCACTGGGGCCTGCGGTGTGCCAGGCACTGCAGAGTGCAGGTGCTGGCCCCGTAGGCATCATTGGCAGGTCAGGAGGATGAGCTGCAAGGCAGTCACTTCCCTGTGGAAAAATTCTGGCAGTTTTGGAGACAGAAGTGAGTGGCTGTGCGTTCTTAGGGAGAGAGGATAGATACAAGGGTCAGACACAGACGTATCTCTCTCTAATGTGTGTAAGGATGGAATTGGCAATGAAAGGCAAGGGGAAGGGGCAGGGGTGTTAAAGGTCATGTTAGGAGTTAAGACTTTGGTATACCCATTTGTTTGTGGGTCAGAGAAAAACAACAACAAAAACCTCCTCCTGGTTTGTTTATAAAGACATGCCTGGGGAGGGAGAGTAAGAATCGTGAAAACGGCTTGGAGCAGAAGCCAAGTGGGTTTAGGGGTACAAGGCTGGAGTAACAGGGAGGAGGAAGGTCACCTTATAGGGGAGGGAAGTGCGAGGGTCGGAAATCTGTGGTTTCTTGAGTGGTAGCTGCAGAGTTGAATTAGCAAAAGCTTGATCCTGGAAGGATCACATGCAGAGTTGAGTCAGAATGGGAAAGTCACAATATGCGAAGACGATGGCCTCGCCCGCAGGAGGAAGCAGACCAGAGCAGTCTCCAGCAGCCAAGGCAAGGTCCCTTTGGAGCACTGTTCCTGGAAGAATGGGGCTGGAATAAGGTAGGTCTGCCAGGGCAAGTTTTCTGTGCAGTCATTCAGCAGAGAGTAAAGGGCAAATACAGTCCGCAAGCGTTGGCTGAAGGCAGCAGAAGATGGAAGGTCTGATTTGCGCTCTTTCTGCCTGGACTTGCGTGGAGGTTTGAGGTTGTACAGCAGGGCTGCTACCTCTCCCCGCAACAAGACCTTTATGAAGGGGAGCTGCCCGATGCACATCCAGAAGGAAACATCAGATGTTGCTTCAAGCCTGGAGTGACGGAGGAGGTGAGGTCCAAGCTGCAGGAGGAAGAGCAAGCATAGCACAGAGGAAGAACATGAAGCATGACCACCTTGGTGCTCAGACACCCTTCCCAACCTCCTTAGGCTGGCTGCTACCAGGCCTGTCCCCTCAGCGAGCCAGGGCTGACCTTGTGGAGACACCGCAAGGCAACACAACCCCCCCCATGCTGTGCCAATCCACTTCTCCTCACGGAATGAAGCATTGAGGAAACCACCTCCAATTAAAATGCCAGAAGATGGAAGCGAGGGGTGAAGAAGAGACAGTTTATAAGTGTCTGTCTGGTTCTTGTGGTTTTTTATTTTTTTTCCCCCTCCCCCCTGCCCTGGGCTGCAGGCTTTTGCCATAGCCAGCTGCAAGGGCAAAAGCCAACTGCCCTGGGAAGACAAAAAAGTGTATATATACACATTACACGTATATATATATAGCAGTCTGATGGGATGTGTAGGGGTACATATATCTCTATAAATAAAAACCCAGGTGACACGGCCTGAAAACGGCACAGCTGTGATGGGGGTTAAGGACCGGGG